TGTAAAGAGCTGCCAAGCTTGACTTCAGGAACATAACTTAGTTTCTTCAGCGGAAATGGATGTTTGCTATCACATACAGCTGTGAGCTCACATTTAAAAATGCACTGCCTTGGGAAAGCACCCACTTCCTGCTGCCATGGCTGATGCTTTGCTTTGTTTTTTTCTGTTTTCTTGGTTTACAGAGTAAAGTCTGGAACTGAGTTACTAACATGCCATTAATGACTGACTCTATCTGACAAACACTTATCCTTTTACAGGAGCATTCCAGCTCTTCTTCAGAATCCAGCTATGCTTTCTATTTTGCCAACACCGCAGCCACCTCACATTCCACAGCCTCTCACAACAACGCTCTGGTCTCAAACCTTAACGCCAAACGCCTTGCCTTGGAGAAGCGAGGATTTCACGAATCTTTTACCAAGGCCAAGCCAGGGAACTTCAAGGTCCAGGCTGTCCCTCCAAGAGAACCAGCTTCCAAAGTGACTGTACAGGGCCTATTGGAACCTCAAAGTAAAAATGGCACTCAGGAACAGGATCCTGGCCCAGTGGATCTGGATGATGCAAGCCTTCCAGTCAGTGACGTGTAATAATGGAAGTGTTTGGAGAATGATCCATCTGTTTGGTCCTCTAATTTCCTTGGTCAGACTTGTAGCCAAAGAAGATTTTAGGAAGAAAGAACAAAGAGAATGGAACACTGATTTTATGTATGTGTGTATATACATAAGTATGTGTATACACAGTACACGCATATATAATTATATATATTTAAATAATTATATACTGCCTTCAAATTAGGGTCAGAAATAGACCTGCTTTTTCTCACAGCCTGATAATAAATCACTTTTATAATAGGAAGGGGCCAAACTACATGATTCAGATATGTACTGCTGCCAGTAAATAAGGTACCAGCAACTCTTTACCCTCAATTTGGCAAACCTAAAATTACATTCAATATTTTAATGCTATACTATAGAAAATGTAATGCCTACAAATGTGATTATTTAATTTCATTATAAACCAGATTAAGACTTTACGCATATGTGAGAATTATTTCTCTCCTCTTTTCAAAATTTTATGACTTTTTCAGATACTGGGATATGCACAAAAAGTCTTTCGTTCCTATCAGATCAACATTGTCAGCTGAAATATTACCAGACTAAGAATTCTAAGCTCCCTTAGAATTCTAAGTATATGGTGCTGTAAAATTCACATTAGAATAATGATGCTATTTTGAACATTAAACCTATTTTTGATGCTCTCCTAAAGGTGAATTGTAATTTTTTTGCACATTTGATTTTAATGGACCACCTACAATGGTGTTTTGGATGGGGGGAGGGAAATCAGACTACTACATCTTACACCTTTGAAGTAAACCAGTTTTATATTGCATTACATTAAGCTTTGCTGCAATTACTTTGTATTAAATGTCTAAACATATTGTTTAGGATTACTTTTTTGAGAGATCCTTTTTCCTATCAGTGCTTTGTGAACAGTTCTTGTTTCTATATTTGGATCAGTGAAAGACCTCATTTATTTAGTTTGATGTCAAAACTGGTACTGAACTGTTTATAGTCATGCAATTGTGGCCTGTAATTTTGGTGCACTAATAATCTATTAAAGTGCCTGTGTTTTTTCTCATCTTTTTAAACATTTTGAGATTCGATGTGTACACAGACCTTATTTACATGGTTTTGAACCTTGGGGTGAAATTATTTTGAGTAACATAGTTCAAAACAATTATTTAAAATAGAAAATCTTATGCTAGGGATACCAGCATGCTGGTATTGCATCTACTAGCTGTGCAATATGTGATTTTTATAAAACTGAATATTTGTTACATTGTTATGGGCTTCAGTGATGCAAACAAAAGATCTAAGAACTTTTACATTTCAAATATTTGATTAGCTTGAGCATGTACTGGTTTCATAGGTTTTAAAAATGTTTGCTGTAACCAAAAAAAAAACAACCACCAACCCCACAAATTTCATATGCTGCTGCTTATTGTGATTCACATTTCCCAGTGTTGCAATACTGTTCGTCGTCTGGAACTTAACAATTACATATCAGAAAAGTCCATCTTCTCTCCAGCTTCCAAACTGACTTATGACCTGAGAGAGAGGGTTTTTCCACAGTAACTTGTTGATCCAAGGATAGAGTAATTGGTGTAATGCGAGAATTAAATATTAACTAGTTTCAAAACCATTACATCACCATCTTCAATTTTTTAATCCGTAAGCTAACCACTGTTTTTAGGCAATAGTATTTGTAAATTACACTTTTTCATTTTACTCTTCAACATCACATGAAAGCTAGTGCAGGGTTGGAAATTATTGTGGCAGTCTAAACAAGTAGTGTAGTTTTTAACTTGTATCAAAATAAGACAACGGTTCTTTGAAAGCTTATTTTTCACAAGTACACACTGTGGGAGACACTAGTAAAAAATATTTCAATTCAAATAGTTCTCACATTTAAAATCACTTGCTCTGGTACAGCTTTGGCACTGCATGTTCATTTTACTATATTTTGGTATTGGCAATTTTATGTATGAGGTGGAGGTAAAGCAGCTCCATTATGGGACTTGTTAAAATTAGAACTACTGTTGTAGTTCAGTAGCATAGGAAAATATATTTGTGGTTGGTAATTGTCAGGGTCTCCTATTTATCAGTACTTTTATAATCTATAAAAATTGTTAAATTATTTTAGAACCAGTGCTATTTCCTGTAAATATGTCACATTTAAATTGTCAATAAATCAGTTTGATAACTTAAAAGAACTGTTGACATTTTTTTATTGTACCATTTACCACAAAAGGATACATCTTAACATAAGAGTAAAATTATTTCTTCTCCTTTGATACATTGCATCTTCTGTTTCATTCTTCCATGTTTGATTGATTGAGCACTCTAATGGCTTCAAGTAGTAAGGTATACTGGCCCCAAATCTTTAGCATCTGTCTTAACGAATTGCTGGAGCACTGACTTCAAGGTACAGTAAAATCACTCTATCAACCCATCAGTTTGTAGGTGGTAGACTGAGGCCCGGTCTACACTATAAAGTTAGGTCAACATAAGCTGCCTTGTGTTGACCTAGTTGTGCATGTTTCTATGCTTAAATTTGTTTCCTACTGATGTAAATGCTCTGTTACTGCAGTGCAGTAACACCACCTCCCTGAGCGGTGTTGAGCCATGGTCAGTGTATTCAGGTTGATACAGCGCATGGGTAAACACTGTTACTTAGGTCAACTCGAACAGTCCTCCAGCAGCTGTGCCATAACGACGAACACTGCTCTGGTCGCAACTGTGAACTCCGCTGGTCAGGGGTCACAGAGACTGGAGGGCCGCACACCCCTTTAAAGCCCCAGACATTTTTGAAATGACTTTTCCTGATTGTTCAGCTTGGTGAGCACAACTAGCAGCTCTCCATTGTGTGCAACTGCACACTCCAGACGTGCTCTAGTTTGTAGTAGACAGAATATTGGATCTCCTGGGCCTGTGGGAAGAAGAGGTTGTGCAAGCACAGTTACAGACCAGCTGTAGAAATGTGGACATATATGAGCATATTGCACCAGGAATGCAGGAGAAGGGGCAGGACAAGGACCAGCAACAGTGCCATGTGAAAGCAAAGGAACTGTAACAGGCATATCAGACTAGGGAGACCAATAGTCAATCCTGTGCTGAGCCGCAGACCAGTCACTTTTACAAAGAGCTGCATGTCGTACTTGTCGGGGATCCCACCACCACCCCGCAGACCACTGTGGATACATCAAGGAGTCTGGGTCACAGGCCCCTAGCTTCAATAGCGAGGAGGATGAGGAAGACGATGTGGGGATATGTGACCAGGGGGTTTAGCAATGCCATGACCCAGGACTGTTTGAAACTCCACTGCAGTCTAGTCAGTCCCAGCCATCAAGCATGGGCAAGCCCGATGCAGGGGAAGGATCTTTGGGTAAGTGTGTATATTTATTTCCCATTACAGTAATGATGCCCCCAACTTATCAGTGATGATGTCTCTCCAATAGTTTGTGCAGTGGTCTGGTATCCTTGGTTGTAATAAGGAGTTAATAATTGTACATTTATTTAGCAATCTTCTCTGCTGTGTAGGCTGGTAATTTCTGTATAAAAGAGAGACAGTATTTACAAACCAGCCCAAGGCCTTCCTGTCCTTTGTACAGGCTGCCCTTCCCTATAGTCCCTAGCTCAGGGGTCGGCAACCTTTCAGAAGAGGTGTGCCGAGTCTTCATTTATTCACTCTAATTTAAGGTTTTGCGTGCTAGTAATACATTTTAACGTTTTTAGAAGGTCTCTTTCTATAAGTCTATAATATATAACTAAACTATTGTTGTCTGTAAAGTAAATAAGGTTTTTAAAATGTTTAAGAAGCTTCACTTAAAATGCAGAGCTCCCGGACCGGTGGCCACGACCTGGGCAGTGTGAGTGCCACTGAAAATCCGCTCCCGTGCCGCCTTCGGCACCCGTGCCATAGGTTGCCTACCCCTGCCCTAGCTGGTAGTATGGCTCCCAAGTGAAAAATGTGAGATCATTCTTAGCTAATCTAAATAATGTTGTTAAGAAATGTTGCAGTCTATTGCTCTGGCACCCTCTTGTTAACCTTTTGCTAGGGTGGAAATTAATTTATTTCTACTCCTTTTTGTCTCTGACACTTTCTAATGCTTGGCACGATACTGAACTATGTCTGGGTCATAAATGAACGCGGCCAGGCTCTGCCCTCCGCCCTCCTTTTCCCGCCTTGCGATTTGCAAAGTACCTCGCCCCCTGGTAGTGTTGTCTCACCCCTACCTTCTGCCCTGTGTCCCACTCACCTCCACCCCGCCCGCCCCTTTTTTCCACCGTCACCCGCCAGCTTGGGAAAACTGCTGCCCTTCCAAACTCCCCCTCCCCTCCCAGGCCGTGCAAACCAATGGGCCGCTTTCCACGCACGCAGCTTCTTTCCAGGCTAGCCTGTTTATAAGGCAGCCCCAGCCGGGCCCCTCCCCTCCAGTGACCCTCTCTCGCCGCACGCCCCAGCCCAGCTCGCGCTCCTGGCCGCTTCTCCAGCCCAGCCGCTAAGTCCTGGCTTGTGCTTGGTGCAGCTCCGGCTGGCGGTGAGCTCTGCCCAGTCTCCTCCGTGCAGCGCTCGCCTGGGGGGGACCCCTTTGCCCTTTGCACCGCTCCCCCTGCTGCTGCTGCTGCTGCAGAGCGGGGCTCGGGTTTCAGCCGCTTGGCAGCCCGGCGCTGCTGGGCTCCGCACGCCGCTGAGCATCTTGGGGGCTGCATCAGCCTCTGCTCCGGGCGGCTCTCGGGGTCCCCTGGCCAGGATGCTGCTGTGGCTGAGCTGGGCAGGCGGCTGCTGCCTGCTGCTGCTGCTCCCCGGCGGCGCGGCTGAGCCGGCTGCCGGCTGCCCCGAGCGCTGCGACCGGGCGCGCTGCCCCGCCGCGCCCGCCGACTGCGCGGGCGGAGAGGCGCTGGACGCCTGCGGCTGCTGCCTGGTGTGCGCGGCCCAGGAGGGCGAGCCCTGCGGCGGGCCCGCCGGGGAGCCGCCCTGCGGAGAGGGGCTCCAGTGCCGGCTCCCGCCCGGCGGGGGGGTGGCGGCGACGGCCACGGTGAGGAGGCGAGCCAAAGCCGGGCTCTGCGTCTGCACCAGCGGCGAGCCCGTGTGCGGCAGCGACGCCAGGACCTACGGCAACCTGTGCCAGCTGCGAGCGGCCAGCCGGCGCTCCGAGCGCCTGCAGCAGCCGCCGGTCATCGCCATCCAGCGGGGCGCCTGCGGCCAGGGTAAGAGCCGGCAGGGGGATGCGGGCCGGGGGGAGCGAGGGCTGGGATTCCCTTGGGCGTTAAACAAAGCTAATCCAATGGGTATTACCCGGGCTGATGGCCGCTCTGATCCCGAGCTCTGTAGTGAGCCCCCGGCCTGAAATCAGCTCCGCTGACAGCAAACGAACCTCGTTGCCCTGTAAGGCTCGGTTGTTTGGTTGCTGTGTTGGGCACCTCCGTCTGGGCAGCGCCCAAAGCTTGCTGAGGACTCGGCCAGCAAGGAAAGGAACCAGGTGCCTGCTCCTGCTCGTTTAAGCGTTATCATCTTGTTAGTTCCCCCGTTAACAACGGCTAGCAGTGTCACCTCTGATACCGCCATTGATCGCACTGATGACTGGGTAGGTGCCCAATACATTGGCGCATGTAAAGGAGATAAACGAGGCTCTGAATGTTCAGGTCTCAAGACTTGGTCAAGGATTCCAGAGCAAGACCCTTCGCTCGGGAATGGCCTTGTCGAACTCGATTTTGAAGCTCTCACCCGAAAGGCACACGGTGTTAATCCAGGGGTCTTTTGTAGTCTGTGGTTTCCGGGAGTCTGTATTTCAAACCATTCAGTGGCCATTCAGCCTGATACAGTGGACTGGTCCTAATGGAGACTTCAAACCTGGTTTTATAACAGGTGGCTGCTCAACACAGCCTGCCTTTAAAAATGACCATACAGACTTTTTTTCACATATGCACTTCTGTAGGGTTTGCAGCAAAACGAAAACTAGCAAATAAACTATAATTCTCAGCAGCTGAGAACTTAAAACAATTGTAAATAACATTCTTTACAATTTTTGGGTGAGGGGAAGAGGTGATCTTCTGCTCTTGAAGTGGCTTCCTCTTCCAGTTGTAGTTTACATACCTGGGTGAGTGGGAGTGAAAAGGTTTTAGCCACCCACTCAATTAGTATGGAGGAGTTGGGAAATCTCTGAGACAAGACTGAGATTTTCCCAGTTTATCTATTGTTATGGTCGTCATCATGCTGCAGGGAACTGTCAATATTGAGTAGTAACTTTCATCCTGAAGGGTCTCTAAGTGCTTTATAAATTAGTATATAATTTCTACAGGAGGATTGTACCACTGAAATGCAGCCACCTTGGTGGTAAAATAAGTTAATTTAATTATATATGCACTATTAGAAGAGGACCAGAGGAAAGGGTTGTCCTTGACTGATATTTGGCTTTCAAGTTTGTTCAGAAACTAGGGCAAGAATGCAATATTTTTAGTATGCAAAGTAACAGGGAAAATTGTTTTTATGTGCCACTTAAAATAAAGTAAAATTAACCCCACATCCTTTAAAACTAGATAAAATAAATTTTATCTGAATGAAATTGTATTGCCTGATGTAGGTTCTGAGAAATACTGGTGAGGGGGTTTATAACTGGGTACTCTTTCATGAAGAGATGTCATGGAAAATGTAATAAAAAATTCTAAGTTGGCGGCTTCTGTTGTAAAACCAGGTAATACTAAATGAATGCAATATGTCCGTGACAACAGAGCAAGCAGTGAGCTGCTGCCAGCCATCTCATCAGATGTTTTATCTTGTTCTTTTTAGTAATAATACATTTAGGTGGGAGTGGGAAAAATATAAACCTAAAAGCATGCTAGGTCGACTTTCTAAATTCTCTTCAAAAGGAACACAGGATCAGCGCAATACAAGTAACAGTGCACATAATAATGAAGAGGCATAATGTTTTCTCCTTGGTATTGTTTATAAGTATTTATGGCTATGCTAATTGAATCTGACAAATTAGGGGAAGTGAATATGTATTTGTAGTTTAATGAGATTATTTTTCCCATGACAAAAATATGATGGGTTTTAAATTAGTTTTGTTAGGTATAGTTAAATGTATTCCAAGGTAGAGTTGTGTAAATTTGAGCAGTTCACTGATCATGTATACTGAAGTGAACTCTCCTCACATATAATATCAGGATAAAAACGGTAATAGCATTATGTTCTCATATAAATGGGCCCTACCAAATTCACAGTCCATTTTGGTCAATTTCACGGTCATAGGATTTAAAAAATAATAAATTTCATGATTTCAGCTATTTAAACTTGAAATTTCACGGTGTTGTAATTGTAGGGGTCCTGATCCAAAAAGAAGTTGGGGGGAGGTGCGGGGGCCACAAGATTATTGTAGAGGGGGTTGCGGTTCTGCTACTCTTACTTCTGCACTTCTGCTGGTGGCGGCGCTGCCTTCAGAGCTGGGCAGCTAGAAAGTGGCGGCTGCTGGCTGAGACCCCAGCTCTGAAGGCAGAGCCCCGCCAACAGCAGCGCAGAAGTAAGGGTGGAAATACCATACCATGCCACTCTTACTTCTGTGCTGCTGCCTTCAGAGCTTGGCGGCTGCTCACTGAGGGCTCAGCTCTGAAGGCAGCAGCACAGAAGTAAGGGTGGCATGGTATGGTATCGCCACCCTTACTTCTGCACTGCTGCTGATGGGGTATTGCCTTCAGAGCTGGGCGCCCGGCTAACAGCCGCCACTCTCCAGCTGCCCAGTTCTGAAGGCCGTGCAAAAGTAAGGGTGGCAATACCATGACTTTGTGATCCCTCTGCAACTTCCTTTTGGGTCAGGACCCCCAATTTGAGAAACGCTGATCTCCCCTGTGAAATCTGTTTTTTTTTGTGTGCTTTTATATTACACTATACAGATTTCACATGGAAGACCAGATTTCATGGTCCGTGACGTGTTTTTCATGGCTGTGAATTTGGTAGGGTCTTACATATAAATAACAGTAAGAAACACATAATGAAGTTACAGAACTGTATTATACTCTTGTACATGGAATTGCCATACTGATTCAGACCTATAGTCCATGTAGTCTAGTTTCAAGTCTCTAACAGTGGCCAGTACCATACGCTTCAAAGGAATATGCAGCATCTCCTCCAAACCCATCCTTAGGCAGGAGTGGGATAATCTGTCCCCCCATTCCTCTGGAAGGTTTCATCTTAATCACCTACAGTTAGTGATTGTTAAACCCTGGATCATAAGGATTTATATCCCTTCCAAACTACCCATCACTTTTGGGAGTTGTATACAAAAAATAGGATAAAATATATGGCTCAGTTTCTAAAATATTAGTCATGTTTAGTGATTCAGCTGCTGTTCCCCTTGAGGTCAATCATTCTGATAAAAAGCTTGCAGAAACTTTTCATCATCTTTCTCCACAGAAACATCTGCAACTGTTTGAATGTTTTACTCTTTCCTGTCCAGTAAAAGAATATCTATGTGGCTCAGTGCATGTCTATTCCAGCTCTGAGTGAAAAACTTCTGTGGAATAGGTGTTGAGTTTCAGAAGTGAGTGATACGGGTTTCAGAAGTGAGTGATATAAATACAGTGGTTATACAAATCTTACTTTAATGGTCCAGGAGCATCATATTTGATACACATGCGGAAAAGTGAGATCTGAGTTTTGTACTTCTAAATTTAAAAGCTATACTGTATTCTAATAGAACTATCTCAACCAGTTAACATCAGCAAACACTCAAAGCTTTCATTTCCTCAGTAGAATATAAGCCTTTGATTTTAGATCTCAATTCATGAAAACAATATTGTTGTCTCATGATCTTTTTGCAGAATGGTCACAGAATTTGGGCTGTGTTTGAGCACTAGAGAAATACAACTCTGCTGTTGCTTATGCTTTCTCTGCATAACCCTGAATTGACTCATTCAATTCATAGTCTTACATTTTCAGTAGAAAATCTAAAAATTAACTTTTTAGGTAAATTAAAAAAAAAAAGTCAAATATCCAGAAATGATCATCATTCTGCTCCTGTAGCACCTCTGATTAGTGCTTTGTTTGATGTCTGTATCAATGAGAACAAAAGGGAGGTGCTGGAAAAGCAGACCAGTTGTGTGACATCTCATCCCTGGTACAGAGCAAATGTTGTTGCAAGCAAAAAATGTTTCAAATGTAAAAAACCGGGAGTAGGCAGGCGAGAAGGGAGGGAGGCTTCTAGCATTGCCTACTGCATGACTTGTAAAACTTTTAGCTATGGCTTTGTTTTTGTTTTTTTTTCAATCCCATTTCTAACAAGGAGGTTTTTTTTATTCATACCCAATGAAGTTGGGTTTCCTAACTATAAAATTAGGAGAGGGAGAAATTCGATAACAATCTTTTATTTCAGAGTAGCAGCCGTGTTAGTCTGTATCCGCAAAAAGAACAGGAGTACTTGTGGCATCTTAAAGACTAACAAATTTATTTGCGCATAAGCTTGCGTGGGCTAAACCCCACTTCATCGGATTCATGTCTTTTATTTGCAGAATAAATGTACTGAGTATATCTTGAATTGCATAAGGAAACAGAGCAGTAGGTGTGTAAAAGTTTCCTTCAAATTCAGAAAATACAAAAACATTTTACATAATATTGGGTCATTTTAACAACTGATATAAAACAATCCATAGTGCAAACAGTCAAGTACTATGTTCAAAATCCCCTTTTTCTTTGTCATCTGAAGATATGCAGCTGCTGACCATACAGAACAACTTCTCCACCAGTTATTTCCCAGGAAAGCATGTAGGAAATTCTATCCCATCTTTAGTTTTGTGGGATATGAAATTACTAGCTCTGTCTTGTTCTCCACGAAAGGTCCTCAGATCAGAAAACCTGCTCACCTCTTGGTCTCGGTACATGGACCAGCATCAGGAAAAAATGAAATGTACTTAATTTTGTACGTCCTATCTTTTGGTTCCCTGGCTGTTATAAATATTCTTTACTTGTCCCAGGAGTCTTGGGACACAATGCTGCATAACTTGCATCTGTACTAGCCTTTCTCTGGGTTCTGATATTCTATTTCATACACACAATATCATTTTTCTTTTTGCTGTTGTTTCTCCCATTATACAGTTACAGGCATTCGTAGGGAAAAGGCACAAGGCTGACAGCATCTCACACAATTTTGTATCCTTGCTTGACATTCTTATGAGGGTACAGCATAAAGTTTTGAAAAATTAGGATTGTTTTTAACATT